TACTTAGCTTAGAATTTTTCCTTCTATTATTCTGATTCGCTCGTATTTAATGTCATATAAACTTAACAAAACCATTAACATACTTAATAGATAGCATCAAATACTTGAAATAAATGAACCCAAATCACCAATCTGTGGGTCATATGATTTATTCTTACTGTAACGGAATCACGTCATTTCATGCAATTGCTTAAAAATCCATTTTAGCTTAACATAAAACAATCAGAGTTAATAAAATAAATCAAAGTACAAACACATAAAACGAACAACGATCAACGAGATTATTTAGTTTAATTAACGCTGTTACGGCTCAGTCCCCTTTGTTTACGTGCGTCGTCTGGTACTCGGCTGGGAGTTGGGTTGGTTGGCGTTAGATCTACGGCGTAATCCTATTCGCTCGGTGCATCAGGTTGGAGGGGATAAAAAAAACGACTGCAGCGCCGTAGGTGAGCAAAGTTGGCGTACCCGTACCCCCATGAATCGTACAATAAGCGTTGTCTTGTATGAGAAAATATATTAATTCATTTAAAGTAATTAGTTGAGAAATCGAAGGCGGAAAAAAAATGTTATTTAGCCAAACCGGGTCTATAATACGGATAAATAATTTTACTAGGCACTTCAAATCGCCCGAAATTTTAAATAATGGGTTATTAAATATCATCTGTCATATAGTACACAACACACATACTTATCTGTAATGTTGTATACGTGAGAGCAAGAACTCCAAGCTGTATAATCTGAATCAGTGTTTACATTTACAAAGTAACGAAATGCGTACGAGACAGTGTTGCGTTGTTAATTGCAACAAGAAAGAAAAGCAGGGGGTGGGGTGGTGCTGTATAAATTCCCAAGTAGACCCCATGAAACAAAACAGAAGGAGCTGTGGATTAGGGCAGTTAGGAGACAAAAGTTTGTACCTAACCTACGGAATTTTTTTAATTCTTATTATTGATTATAAGTAAAATTATCATGAAAATTTTACAGTCCTGATGGCAGTTTGTGGCACACATTTATGTGGATGTTACTATAACCTACATTTGTCAAGCATAGGCAATAATGTACTTACAGATAATTCTACTTTGAATGGATTTAAGCTGACAGATGTTTGTCTCACAACATAGCAATTGATCAGATGACCGACTCCTTTATTTACATATTCCGTTAATTGCAACAAAAAAGAAAATCAGGGGGTGGTGCTGTATAAATTTCCAAGTAGACCCCATGAAACAAAACAAAAGGAGCTGTGGATTATTTGCTCAAAATCAGTTTTACTCAGGCTATCACTTGTATTAATAAAATGGACCAGTGCTGCGATGTGCTTACACTTTTTGCTGTGATTAGCTACACATTCGCAGCTCACGTCGGAGATACAGCGGTCTTCGTTAATCTGATAAATGAATTACACATTTATGTATATGTTACCATAACCTACATTTGTCAAGCATAGGCAATAATGTACTTACAGATAATTCTACTTCGAATGGATTTAAGCTGACAGATGTTTGTCTCACAACATAGCAATTGATCAGATGACCGACTCCTTTATTTACATATTCCTGTACGTAGGCAACGTGCCCACTCTCTACTAATGTTTTAGCTTTTTTCAGCGTTTCGTTATTAAAAACTATGTTGCAACTTATATTTTTAAAGCCTGTTTGGATAATCATATCCATTTTTTAGGGTGCTGATGTTTACGCGATAGCAGTATGTACGTCTTATTCAATAAAAAATACTTTCTCCTATAAGCGACAGTGTTACGATTTAATCATACAGGGGTACGGTATTGCGCGATTCTGACACCGAGGGCGGCGCTGCGTGTCATGCATGGAGCGAATAGTGGCAAAGCTGATAGTACTTAAGCTTCTTAAAAGTATCATATCACGGATGATTCTCCATTAATCGATTTTAAACTTTCTAAAAACTTTTATCTTGCACTAACGAACAACTTTCTCGCTAAAACCTTCCCGCACACTTTTTTTCCTGTAAAGTTAAGAAGATGTCGTACTATCACTGCACTTATTTTGCACTAAATATTTATTATCAATGGGCATTTTAGGCCCTTTTAAGTTACTTTTCAACAGCGTTTTGGTTGTTACTTGCAATCATGCCAAATTTTAAAGCATTTTGATCGTAAGTGACCGAGGTATGACGATTTATATTTATAAAACGTATTGAAATCTAATCTCATAAATTTTAAGTATTTATTTTTTATCTAGAAAAAAAATAGTTTTATCAAAAAATTGTAAACAAAAAAAAAAGATCTTTATTCCCTGTAGGCCAGTATTTTGTTCAAGAAATATTCGTAACTTCAGAAAATTCTCTGTTGAGACAATACTTTTCCATGATATTCAATTTATGTGCTCTTTTTATTTCCGGCCCCTCACTTCTTATGTACATATACGTTTGTATACAATTTTGTAGGCATATTTATTCAACGTTCTCTCTCCCCCCTATGATATCAGTAAACTAGTGAAGCACAGAATTAAATAATTATTCTGCGCTCCATTACAATAACAAATTATTTTTCTGAAACATTGAATGATTAAAAAATCTTTGTTTGTGTATATAGGTAGATCTATCGTGAATGCCATTGCCACCACCGCAAAACTTGATAAAAAAACATTAATCCCGAGTTGGCTGCTCCTTTAACTCGAATCTGAGTTGGCTCTTGCTTCACCAATTATTTAACTTAATTTGCTCTGTCTTTTACTGAGCCGTCGATATAGTCTATGGCCTAAATGATTTTTTAATCTTGAATTTTCCTGAAAAAAAAAATTGATCATTCCCCTACAGAATTTTCCCAAGAATTGAGAAAAAATAGTATTATTTAAATTAGAAGTTGGCTCTGTTCATTTATATGACAACATATAAACAAATGCCAATTTTTTATTTCGTCTTTTGGCTTATATCTCCACTTCTGCTGCTCTAAGAAGTATTCTATGACTGTTAATCTCTTTGCTATCAAATTTTTTATTAAATGGACATTACTTTAAATTTATCATTCATTGTGTATAACATGTTAACGGCAAATAAGTGTAAATTTTTTTTTAACTTTCGATCATCGTGGAAAAAATTAACCATGTCAGTTTTAACGTAACCGTGAAAAAACATAAATATTACGTTGCCTAACAAATAGCTGTTTGTAAAATGATAAAGTAACGATTAGTTATTTGATAATTCATTTTTTAAAGTAAAACTTTGAAGTGTTACTACAGACTTAAGGGAGCTCTATCGGTTACAGAATTAACAATGAGAAATTGATAAAAATTTATCTACACATAAATAGTCATAAAAATGGCACTGTCAAAATTTAAAGGCATGGGGGTTCCTTGGAGCCAAGTAATTTATATTCATACGAAGCTAATTTTTACAACTAGGCTTATAGGCTGTTGTCTTTTGAAGAGTTTCCATTGTATTTACCTCGTATATTAACGATGAACTTTAGATGAAAATTTTATCAATGATAAAAAAAAATCTAATGATCGTAATAAATTTCATTTAACATCTCGGAGGTCCTTTTGAGAGCAGAAATTAATTAATAAGCGTGGTGAAAACTACCAAAGGTTATGTTGTCATAGGAGAGCAAGAAAGACAGACGACATACCTAACTGTAGAGAGCGTCGCATGGACTGTAGCGAGGGATTGAACCTCTTTGATTGTCGGTTTATCAACATTTGGTTTTGATAACAACATTTTAGCTGAAGTTAATTATGATGATAAACAAAAAAAAATGGATTTCTGCAATTTTTGACGCTTTGCCACGAAAAATTTATTTTGCAACTTGAATAAGTGCTAATATTTCAGTCTATTTTGCAAATTTTTTTGTTGACAAATAGCATTGTATTTATCTTCTAAAAAATGCTTTATCTCATTCTAAAGCCAAAGCATAAAAAATCCACCGTTTTTTGTTATAACGTACTACTTATTAAATTTTATACTGCAAAAAAATTTGTAAATCATCTTAATGTATTTCTACATTACATTGTCTAAGTCCTTTAACAAGTCCATCAAAAGGGAAGCTAAAAAAATCAAGAAAGACGCATTGTGATCGCCGGTGTTAGATTTGCGCTCCCATCTGTACCCTTCTCCTACGACTAAGTGTTCGACCGTTCAACCAGTCGCAGTACGCACTAAGTAAAACGTGGGCTATCACCGACATTTGAATTAAAATAAATTGATAACAGCGAATATACTATTTTTAACTAAAGCCAAATGTTGATAACTCAATGTAAAAAACCAATTAAAAAAAAACTAGTTAATAGTTTTTAATTTTACAAATAGCTTTTAGTTAGGCAACGTAATATTTATGTTTTCGTTTCATTTATGTTTTAACTGATAGCTTTTTTTTGCGTCTGTCAAAAAATTTTCGGTACAAAACATTTTTTTGCACAATTTTTCCATTGACGTGTTGTAAACAAAAAAAAAAAATTTAAAAGAGTATCTATTTTGTAGGAAATTCCACGACAAAAAGATAAACAATCACAAAATTTCCCAAAGCATTAGAAGCAGAGATATAACCAACAAATTAACTAAAAAATGGGATTTCGTTCATAAATGATGAAATAAAGAAAATCCAAGGTCCAATTTAGACAACTGTTTTCCCCGTATTCCTATAAATTTTCTGTTGGATAATAAACAATTTTTTTCTAGTGAAAAACGTAAAAGTAAATCGTATTTTTTTGTGTCTCTGAGCAGTGAACTAAAAAAGGCAGTCTTTGTCCGGGATCTCATAAGGACATGGTCTCCGTCCAGGATTCAAAGGGCATAGTCTGTCTATTAACTGTTCACAATGAAGCAAACACTAATGACTGAAATTTACTCCTATTAGTGATAACTAATGTTATTAAAAATTAGATTTTTGACTTTGTCATATTAATATATTATTTATGTATAATTTATACATTATTTATATATAAGTCTGATTATAATCTGTCTTTTTTTTGTCACTAGAAAAGGTTAATGTAAATTTGATTGCAATGTTTATTACACGTTCTTTTCAGATTTGTGACTCTTCTTATGAAAAGACTTCGACACAGCCAAGTGAGAGGCATTTCTATAAAGTTGCAAGAAGAGGAAAGAGAACGCCGTGATAATTATGTTCCCGAAGTTTCTGCTTTAGAGCATGACATTATTGATGTTGATACGGAAACTAAAGAAATGCTTAAGATGTTGGAGTTCACAAACATCCCAGGACTTCAAGTAACCCAACAACCACAATCGTCTAGGCGTCCTTAAACATTTGTCGTAATGCAATAAAGTGAATTTTTTAGCAAACATTTATTTATATTTATTTTCAATTTCTTTGCCCTTTTCAATTATTTATACTACTTAAAATTAGTAAAAATATCATTTGAATACGAAGAGGTTTGGATCATGAACAGGTTTTGTTCTAGACAATCTAGATGTCTCAACGAAACTTCATGCTTGCATGCTTTAATAATAAAGATAACAGTCAAACAAGGAATAGAGTGGTACGTCTAGAATACGTAAAAACTCAGCAAAAACTATACTCGTTGGTTGAGGTCAAATTTTCCATTTTGCACACTGAAAAAATTTGGTCAGTCAGAGCTACCATACTTTAAACGTTCGCTTTTTCTCTCACGCATGGCTCACTTGTGGCGCCATGGATGGTGTATAGCAGACACCACAGTCAGTTGTATAAAAGTTGAACCACTGTGGTCCCGAATCTCGACCACGAGAGGCTGGCGCATCTCTCCACTAAAACGTAGTTCGATAGCAGTACCGCAGTGAGCTGTTTACTGGGCCATACACTCGTGGAGTGTTGTGCATATAGAGATGCATCAACGTCAATGAATGTATATATGATTCACCAGACTATGTACATGTAGTTTTCTAACCTTCATTCTATTATTTTATGTATAATCAAGCATTACAGAAGGGATAAAGCGTGTTTAATGAAAATTAATATTATTATATTTAATACAGCCTTAATTTTAAAGATTATTTTAAATACATTTATTTAGGAAAAAATATTTAAATGAGTTATAGTTTATTGTAGATGTTTATTTTAATTCAACATTGAATAACTCAACTTTCTTATCTCAACTTCAGAGTAGTGTTGCGAAGTTGGAATAGGCATCGTCTTTAAAGGGAGAGCTTGCGTACTTTCAAAGATATGAGTTATTGTCGATGGGTCGATCAATATTAAATTTTGTCCTGATTGAGAGAACATAGCCCCACTATTAGATGCATTATGGTTTACTACAGATAATAACTGTGGTGATAATACACCAGAAGTGTCAAGTTCTCGTTGTATCGTGGGTGGGACTTGTGCGTGCAAAGTTTGTCTAACTTGAGATATTGTATTTTGCGAATCTGAAGTCATCTGTGATAAAATTATGTAAAATAATTTTAAAAAACAAAAATAAAATTCGAGTGTGGGTATAAACAGTAAGTATCTGTGTAAAATTAAACAAAAGACAGTTTTCCAAATGTCTAAATTTGTGATGTTAAATGTCAGTAATGTATTTAGTGTCATCCCTGAAAAGCTTTTTTAATACACTCGTTACTGTTGGCTTTAAAAATGTTGATATTCTTTTTCAAAATGTGAATTTTACTATTTTGTTACTTTTTATAAAATGCTAAGAAACATAGTTAAAGTACAAAATTAATTATTTACATTGCATCCAAAGCGAATACATCAGAAGTATGTAAAGCCTTATACGAAGAGGTGTAATAATTTTAAAAGTTCAAAACGACCAGATATTTATAATCAGTAGACAATTTTTTTTACACACACATACATATATAAAACTAGTAAAATTTTATGAAATTACTTTCCACACTTACCCTATCACAGAATACAATTTTATAAAGCAAACTTCAAGATTAGTCAAACTTAAAATTCAAATAAGCGGTGTTTTACCACCAAAACTAATTTTTCCTCCCAACTATAATTTGCTTCCAAAACCGTGGTATTTATTTAAATAATGATAGAACAAGCAACTTTTCTTTCTTGGGTTTTTTACCAGAAAGCTTAGAAAAAAAGTTATGATGAAAACTCACTGTTTGCTTTGAATGTTTTGCTTCAACCAAAGTATACAAGTTCATGATTCAGATGTAACTTATTTCTTAGGCTTTTGTCAGACAAATCACGAGAAATCAAAACTTTTCGCATACTAGTTTTGGCAAAGAATTTATATTTTCACTATTTTGTATGATGTACTATAATAAATGCAATACTAGTTAATATAATAGCTTAATAAGTATAACTACAATTGATTACACTTGAATGTTTATTCATCAATACTAGTTTTCCTTCAAGACAAGTATACATGTACTATAGATGAATCTGTTCACCTACCATGGAAGAATTGTATTTAACTTAGCATACTCAAAGCATGGCAATAGGAATGTAACGTATAATTTTATAAATACTGTTTTATACATGAGATTAAATGATTTCCCCAATAATTCATTGAGATTTCTTACCAAACTTTAAACTTTCAATGAATCAGACTAACCACATATAAGCAAAGTCATCGACCCACTTGTTTTAAAAAAGAATGTCAACTTTTTAAACTTCACATAATACATAGTGAAGGTATAAGTACTATTTTTATGCAATTTTTAAACTGTACAAGAAAAGACTGATTTTGGCATATGACATTGAAGACATGGCTTGAAAATTACACTATTAAAAACATTAAATTAAACAAAAAAATTCTGTTATAAAATACATCTTAAGACACACCCAATCATATTTTGTACATCAACAACAAAGGCAATTTAAGTAAGGTTATGTGCATGTGTCACCAAATGCACAAGCTACATAATATTTGATTAGTCATTCTCAATTTTTACATTATTTTAGTCTGCTTATCCTTTAAAGTTTTAATAATTCGAAGCCTGCTGAATAGACACACCAGATAACATCACATTAAGAAGTTTTTCAAGAAAGATGTTTGATTCAAAAACTCTTGCATTTTTGTATACAAATCACTCGTACATATGATAGGTGTATATATATATATACATAAATATACATATATGTATGTAATTTGCGTAGGCATAAGTAAGTGGCGGTGTGTACCGGCCACTGTGAGGGTTGATACACCGCGCATGGTCATAAGGCTGATGCGACCGACCACTCGTGGGAGAGATTCTGGACCACGGTGGTCTTAAATTCGTACACATAAACTGTGGTCCTTACAAAAAGCCATAATTGGTGCTCAGTGCAATCCACACATTCATAGAGCCCGTTCGCTACCATTTGTGGTTGCTCCGACTGACCAAATTTTTTTCAGTGCAGCTATTTTAAAAACAAAGCTGATCAATGCTAGTATCATTGAATTAACTAGTCAAAGGAGTTCCCTCCCAAGATAAAAATGATCAGATTTTAATGAAACTTGACAAATATATTATTTAATATCGTACAAAACGACTAGTAAAGTTTCTGACCGATTCAAAACCTGTCAGCTGAGATATGAACATATCTTGTAACACGTGCTCTTATGAGAATTCATGAAATCGTACCGAACCTTATACTGAGCTATTTTTTTACGGTGCTTCTAAAAATCAGATTGTAAAATAATTGAAACACGTTTTTCATTAATTACTCAAAAACGTTTATATATTTTTTTAGAACGGTTCAGAACTGTATAAACGATTATTTATTGATACTGTAAAATATTTAATGCGATAGCAGTCGATATTTTTCTCACTTACGAACATGTGGCAATGTTGCCTTAGGTTAGAATATCTGAGGCCATCATATGTCACAATAATAAATAAGAACAGGACATAAATATGTTTAGCACGATATTTGAAACTTGAAAACGAGAAAGAACACTGCTTTAGAGGGCGTATAGGAAATATTTATATAAATTAGTTTTCATAATGATTGAAATATGCTCACATATACATACAGGAAACAATTCGCATGATAAATCGCTACGTTTGGTTTGTTTATCTATACGACAGCTGATGCCCGCCCCAATCGCTTGTCTACTTCACAAGCGGAACGTTGCCACACTTCTTACACATAAAAAGTTTGATGTTCTTTATCTTTTTTCTAAGATCGGTCTTTCTCTCTCTTGCCAAGCGAACTCCCTTAAAGAAAATGTTCACAGATTGATTCTTCGAGAACTACAAAATACAAAATAATCTGAAACAACTATAATGTCTAATAAAAGCTCGCAAAAGTAAATATGTGATAGAACCTAAACGACTGAAGGTCAACGTATTACCTAAGACTTTATTGATTAAAGTGCAATTATAATTATTCCGTGTCTCTCGGTAGAGAAATATGGCCCCATAGCATTTACAACTCAACTTTTTGACTGTCGAAGCAAGTTAAATTATATTTTAAGACGATTCTAACTCTGCAAGTTGATTGTTTGTTGACTTAAATCTAAAATCCTTCCTGATGCACAAACTTTTATTCTGTTAAGTGAGAACCTAACCAGAAAAGTGACTTACTCAGAAGTTACGTTTCTACACTTACAGAATCTTATTATTACTGTCTTTTCAGCCCAAGTAGATCAAGGAAAGTTATAACCATTGAAATCATGGATATTAAATCTAGCTGGCTAGATTCTTTTGCGATTCGTTTAATCAAATTATTCTAGTAAATAACTTGAAAAAATACTGTAACATGTGAGAAAGCTAAGAAACAGCACCAATTTAAACAATTTTTTTTCACGTGTTATTTGGTCCAAAAAGCCATTTTTGGCTTGAAAATATCAAATTGATATTTTGTTACGAAAATGCCTTCCAGTAGATATTTTTGGTCGCTGATCATGAATTTAAAGTATAATGAAAAAAAAAAGTATAGCACTACACTAAAAAAATTAACAAATGACCATGCTTATTAAGGGACAAACTCAGACTAAGTATAATTAACATAAAAGGCATAGTGCACTATGCAAAGTATGAGGAAAGAGTGAAAACAGAGACTCACTGTCTTGCTCCTAACAGTACACATACATAAAAACTATTGATTGAATATAAGAGCAAATAAAAATATGCTCCCTTCAGGGCATTCAATATTCACTTCGTGGAAGTAGTCGGTGGGGATAAAAGAAAGCGATCGAAGAGCCCATGGTGAAAAAAGTGCTTAATTTCAGTTTTGTTGTCACACTGCACTTTGACAACAAAATTTTCAGTTTCTTATCATGTTTACGTTAGTTGTTAGTGAGTGTATCATAAAGGTATTATTAGCAATTACTTTATGTTCGGTATTGAGTTTAAATATAGGCGCGCTTAATGCTTAGTATTTACAGGTTGAGCTGACATCAATATGCGCCAATGAGAGTCCA